AACCCTGGTCCCTGAGATTCAAAGCCCAAACCCTTGGCCACTCCCTACTCCACTGCATGGAGACCTCTTGGTCTTATGCAGCTCATTCCTGCCCCAGGGTTTCCCTCCCATTTCCACAGACATCTTGGCAGGCAAGTGCTTACATGATTGCTGGCAGGTGACAGGTGAGGGCCTCTCTGTATCCTTTCACCAGTTTCTGTGGCAGTGTTTTCTCATAGTATGTCACGCAGCAGGAGGCTTGAATGTTCACCCCCGCAGGGTGTCCTGAAGGAATCACATTGCAAGTTGAGCCAGTGAGATCAAGAGGGAGACCAAGGCTGCTTACCTCCATCTCCCATGGATCACATGCCACTCCTCTGATGGCAAAGCCACCTGTTTGCAGTTTGATGGGTGATAGGGAAAGAGAAAAAAATGAAACCCTCCAAGGACACACACGGGAAGCCTTCAGCCTCTGAACTGAGTGTCATCTAAATACAAATGGCGCAGAGACTCATCTTTGCTGATGAAACTGGCTCACCCTTGTTTACTTGTGATTGAATTTGGCAAATATGTATTGAGCTCATGTCTTTATGGGGGGTAAAAGGACAAGGCCACCGCAAGCCAGGGTAAAAAGAAAGTGAAACATTAAACACTACCATAGTACGTGGTCCAGGGCAGAACAGACTTCGGGACAAGGTGCTGTGGAGACAGAATGAGGGGGACTGAGCCCAATCTTGATGGTTGAGGAAGTCCTAAAGCAGGAGGTGGGTGCCTGGATTGGTTTTCAAAAGATGAGTAGGATGTAGACAGGCAAAGGGTTTGTAGGATGTGGAAGACAGAAAGAGGCCTGAGGTTGGCGGAAGCTCACTCAGTGGATCTAGCCATCGCTGAGCAGTTTGGGGTCTCTGGAGGGAGAGGAGGGGGAGGAGGAAGGATGAGGAGGAGATGAAAGGGAGGGAGAGGGATGGGACACACACTGACCAAACCATGGTGAAATCTGGGCTCCAACCTGGAGGCATTAGAGCTGCTGAGATAGGGAAGAGGGTGAAAGAGGAGCCATGACCAAGAGGAAAAAGTGTACGATTCAGGCCTCAGAGTCAGCTGGGATCAGAATCTTGAATAAATGATTTGAATCATGAGCAATTTTCTCTCTCTCTTTCTCTCTCTCTCTTTCTCTGTCTTTGTAATATTAGGGATTGAACCCAAGGGTGCTCTATTACTGAGCTCTTTTTAAAATTTTATTTTGAGACAGGGTCTCACTAAGTTGCTGAGGCTGGTCTAGAACTTGTGATCCTCTTTCCCCACCTGTAATCCCTCCTGAATGCTGGGATTACAGGTGGGGACCATCATGCTCAGCTATGTGTAGTTTTCAGTTTCCTCATCCATTAAATGGGGATAAAAGATACTTAAAAGATGACCGTGAGAATAGTTGAGAAGATGTCTGACCCAGCCCGGCCACAGAAAGCTCAGTTGGTGCTCATTAGAATATCTGAGAACAAATGGTTCTTGCTTGGAAACAGCCGTTTTCCTTCTCTCTGAGGTTTGCAGGATGTTGGACTTGATAGGTTAGTGCTCTCTGGAGCTCCCCTGACTACTTGCATGTTGGAGATACAACCCAGGAAGTCAGGCCAGAGACACTCCCATCCCCCAAACCCACAGAGTGGCAGTAAGTCCTTCTGTGTAGTCTGACCCTGTGTTTCCAACCAGTGACAAACTTTGGGATATCTCAAGAGCGCCCTCTGGCTGATCCATGTTTCAAGAGGGCTATTTTCTTTGAGATCTGAACCCACTGCGTTGGCCTGACTGACCTTCCCAGAGGACATGGTTGTCCCTTCCCACCCACCAGACACACACACAGTTCCTCCATAAGTGACTCTGTGTACAGTTCTTTTATAAGTGATGTTCCTGTCCCTGGTTCTCAAAATAGAGTTTACAAAGACCAAGGTCAGTCACCCTGAGAGTATGTGGACAGATTGCATGATGCACTTGACCTTTGCTCCTCTGTGTGTTGATGCAGGCCCAGCCAGGCCAGACCACAAACTTTGGGAGAAAAGATGGGCTGGGGCCACCCAAGGTGTCTACATAGAAGGGTTGAGTGTCTTTGTGCTTTTTTTTGGTCACTAGTCCTCATAAATAATGGCAGAGGCAGGGGATAGGGAGTGGGCAAATAGGTCCCAATTCCCCCTCTCTTGAGATCCCAAACCTTTCAATGCTCCTCTCTTTGGTCTTTGGTGGGATAGGAGTGAGAAAGGGGGGCACAGATCCCCAGATAGCATACTTGGCCATCCCATGGAGACTCATTTTGTGTATCTGGTAGTCCTAGCAATCCATGGCAGCCGCTGCAAGGAAGGGGGGTGTCTAGTTCAGACTCCCCACTCCTGGGCTTGGACCCAAGTGATGGCTTCTACATTCCTCACCCTCACTTCACTCGCCACATTTATTTACTGCACTGCATTCTCCTCTGCTTCTTACTCTCCTCTCCCTGAAACTCCTGCAGACTCCTCAGGAAACCGAAACTCAATTTCCTAGACCTGCCCATCCCCAGAAGGTTCTAGATCAAGCCCAACTCTACTTACACAGGGGAGGAATTGAGACCTGTAGCTGGGGCGAAGGCTGGGAGCGGCCCTGGGGCTGGTGTGGTCAGAGAGCTGGCAGTACTGTTGGTATCCCCTCTCCGCCTGCCACCTGTTCCCCTTTCTCATCCCTGCCTTATGGGGACCAAAGGACTCACTTGGCTGGAAGTAAGAAGCAGATGTGGTGGCGAGGATGAGGAGAAGGAGGGCAGCCACAGAGACCTTCATCTCTCAGCAGGGCAGGACAGCTCCAGGGGACTGCTGAGTGGAGGTGTCCACCTTGCTGCTGGTCCTCGGTGCTCCCACTGCTGAGCCTTCTGGACTCTGACCACTTCAGGAGGGGGTGGAGGAGGAGAAACAGCTGCCTCTGTTTTGGCAGTGGAAGATGGGCGGGAGCTGCTGAGTTAGCAGGATTTGAATTCACTCGAGGGGATGATTGGAGGACTGTGTGGCCAGGGGCCGCTGCCCGCCACTTTGCATGTCCCGTAATCCTCTCAATAGTGAAGAAGTGATCACTACTCCAAGGCCACTGACGCTTAGAGAGGGGAGGTTGCAAGGGTTGGAGGTGAATAGGTCAGCAGTACAGAGAACCAGATCTCTTTGCTTTCACAGTGTCACCTACCACCATCTCTGGGTTGAGAAGGAGGCGGGGTAGAGCAGTCCCAGTTTGCCTCTGGTGACTGGTCTTTGGGAGGGTGAGCAGGGCCCCCATCCCCAGTCTGAGGACACCTGATTGAGCTCAGACTCTTTCTTGTCACAGGTTATGCTACTAATACTCTGATAAAACAGTAAGCCTGATGCCTGGGTCCCCATTTGTTGTTGAGGTGCTTGGTTTGTCCGTTGTTCTTATTTATCTCTTTGGACCTTAGACTCTGAAGTGTTTTTATATTTCTAGTTGTTGATGGCCTTTATTTTATTCATTTATTATTTATATGTGGTGCTGAGATTTGAACCCAGTGCCTCACACAGCACTCTGCCACTGAGCCACGACCCCAGCCCTCCGGACTGGTTTTTAGGTGCAGCAGCAGTCTGGGTTTTCCAAATACAGATTCACGGAACCCTGCCACCGTGGCCAGTTGTGAGCAGCAGAGGCATTCCTACGCTGTGAACCTGACAGGCAGTTTCCGTGGACCTGAGTTCACTGGGAACTGCACCCCACCCCCATCAATCCTGGGCTCTGGCTGAATTTGCCCCACCGCGTCTTCTCTCTTTCCATTGCCTCAAGACCTGGTCCCAGGTTATGTCAGCAGTCTGTGAAGAGAAAGAAGATGCAGGGGATTTTACTGCTAATGGACTGCAAGCTTCAGAGGCCCGAGGGAAGAGTCAGGAGTTGAGGACAGCAGGAGGCAGGGCCCGATAGGCAATGTGCAGCTCCTGGGGGCGCCTGCTGTTGCTGTGACTGCTTCCAAATAGGAGACACATCTAATGCAATGAGTCTTGGTGGGTCCCAGGCAGTCAGTGGTGGTGAAACTGTGACATCTTCCTAGGAGAGGGAAGGAGGGTCTGTGAGTGCTCCCTTGACCTCTGTGCATTGGAAGTGAGGGGGTCTGGGGAAGCCTGGGTGTGCCTTTAGCCCACTGGCCCCTGCTGGTTGCTGCTTTGGCCCACACACCTTTGTCTGTGAAAGGCTGCCGGCCAGGGCAGGGCGGTCAGGGTCCCTACACCAGGTACGTTCTTCCTCCAAGTACACGAATTTCCTCCTTAACCCTGAAGATAAATTTAGGAGCCTATTCTTGGGGCACAGATCTCTTGATTCCTGTCTCATTTTGTCCTTCCTTCCTTCCTTCTTTCCTTCCATCCATCCATGATGCATCTGTTCATCCATTCATTTGATGAGCACCTGACATGGGCCAGGCTTTCTGCTTGGCCCTGTGGGGGATACAAAACGGAGTAAAGCAAACAGTATAACCTGGTATATGTAAGTGAAGAGGGAGGAACTGTCTAAATGTGAATGACTCATTTCTATCCCAGTCAGCAGCAAAGAAAAACATGCGTGCACACACACACACACACACACACACACACACACACACGCACTCTGGAGTCTGACTATTAAGGAGAGGGCTTCATGAAGATCGGTTAGTGAGTCTTAGCTTCTGTACTTTCAGGTAGTGAGTCTTAGCTTCTATACTTGTTGTGAAGCTTAAATGAGATGGTGCCAACAGGCTGCTTAGCAGGGTGACTCGACTGTGGTAAGCACTGACAACGTGGTGCGTGTTACCCCTGGCACACAGGAGGTGTGTGAGGAGGTGGCTTCACCCTGTGTTTCTCTCTTGCTTTCTGCTCAGCTTCCCACCACCCCACTCACAGTCTGGACCTGTTTTCTGGACTCTGGCAAAACTTGTGCACAGTGAGACTTGATGCTGAGGTGCCACACCCGGCTCAGCTCACTGGTGTCACCAGTCTCCTGCCAATGGATAGATTCAGTAGAAATGAACGGGGCCAGGGAAAGGCATGAGGGAGTCTTTAATTCAAGGCAGGGCAGCTCCCAGGAGTGGTGGGGGAAGGTTGGGGTGGAGGGGCCTTGGCCTCTTCATTTCTTTCGGCTGAGCTGAGCCCTTCTCCAGCGCTTCTGGATCACTTAGCTCTCCTCCAGTTCCTTGATATAGTCCTGGACCCACTCATCCTTTGGGTTGGCACAGATGGGGTGCCCCTTTTTGGTGATGAAGCTGTGGAACAATAGGGAGAAGGATTACAAACCAAGGGGTCCAGTGGCCAAGGAGAAAGCCCATCCTCCCTCCCTCCCTCCCAAGTCCCTGCTGGGCCAATCCCATCTCTCCTTCCTGTGTTAGCAGCAGCTAGGGGCCTGGTTCTCTTCAGAGACATGCTCTTCAGCCCCTGGGGCTCCAGCACGTGTAGTCTCTGTGTCACCCTCTCCCTCCACCCCACAAAGTGATCTTGTGCCTCCTCGATTCTCCTGATGCCTCCCCATCAAGGGGCCAGCATTCAGGTGGCTCTCTCAGCAGGTTTCAGACACTGAGTCCCCGGTGTGCCCTCTGGCTGCCTCTCCCTGGGTGGACGCACCTGGGAGGCCTTGTAGGAGTCCTGTTCCACGTCCTCTCCAGCCCCTCTCCCCAGGCCCTGCTAGCTCCCCGTCCCCCAGTGTGGTGTGTCGTTGCCACCTACACAATTCCAGACTTGGGACACTCGCTGCTGGTCTCATAATAGTCTATAATCCGACGACGCGGGGGTGCCTGGGAAACATAGGTGAAGCAGCACTCTGAGGGGTTGTAAGGTCCTCCTGAGGAGAAAGCAAGGGGCATGCTGAGGCGAAGCCTCCGCCAAGGACGCATCGCTGCTACTCCTGCAAGGAGGGAGGAGACAGCCCCGCAGAACTTGGAGCGAGGGCTTTGGAGAAACTCATCTCTTCTCCCTCTCCTTAGCATTCTTCAGCCCCTTTCCTCCACCACCCCACATGGGAAGGTCAGCTGATGACGTCCAACTCCAGGCTTGGAAAGCAGTGAACCCCACCTTCTCATTGAGCACACTAGGAAGGTGGGGTTCACTGACGAGGAACTGACTCACAGGGAAGGCTAGTGACTGGCCCAAGATCATGGGACCTGAGCTCCTTACTCAGAAAAGATGCTCCAACTAGGAGTACTTGGAAAAAAATGCCAACACAGCTCATGTCATTTGGCATGCAGCTCCACCCAGTCCCTTGTCCTGTCCCCATTAAGCCCATGGACAGCAGAGAAGGAAGAAGGTCCACACCAAACTCTTGAGGACAATGGTCATGGAGTCAGAACACCCCAATTCTAACCCATCTTCACCTTTTCTATGGAGAGTGACCATTTCATTTCCCCTCTCTGTTTCCCCCACTGTCGTTGAACTGTGTTGGTGGATTTTACACTGAGCTTTCTGTGGCTATATTGGGGGAACTGTTGAATTTGAGAGCAGTGTCCTGGGGACCTCATTGAACCCTTTTTCCTGTATTATATACTGGCTTCCGTGGAAGATTTTGCTTGGAGAAAAGTTTCATGGTTTAAAAATTCTAAAAATCACTGGATTAGGTGACTTTTCAGCTATTTTTTTGATTGTGAAATTTCACAGCTCTTATAAGAGATGCAAGGGAGTGACAGTGAGGTTACCCCAAACTTGAATTCCAGGGGTAGTGGGAAGGGCCCTGTATGAACAATCGCATACTGTAGTCATGGAGCTGAAAACTCAGGTGTGTGCATGTGATGTGCCCAGGCTGGACAGAAACATGAGTGGGCACTGCAGTGGCATCAGAGGTCACTGGGTCATTGGGGCAGATGCTTGGGTGGAAAGAGAAAGGTCTGGTCCTGCACCCAGCCCTATGCCAGGTATCATCCTCACTATCCAAGGAATGAACTAAGGGATCCCTGGTCCCTAACGCCCACTCAGGGCTCTGACTCTACCACCTTTGTCCTCTGAGCTGACAAAGGACTTTTCAGAGATCAAATTGTCCAGATTTGCCTCCATTAATTTTCAACTAATTTTATTTCAACAACCTTCTACATTCCCCTCCAGTTTTCTGAAAACAGAAACAAGGTGGAGTTAGGACGCCCCAATTCTAACTCTCTTCACCTTTTCTTTGGACTGTGACCATTTTATTTTCCCACACGGTAAGCGAGGACTTTGGATTGGGTCAGTGGATTTTACCCTGAGCTTTCTGTTCTGGGGGCTTCTGTGGCTATATTGGGGTAAGGGAAGGGCAAGGGGGAATAGTTTTGGCTTTCCAGTAAGGCCGCTCATCCTAAGAATTAAATTGCAAAAGGGTGGCCCGGACAGGAGCCCCCCACTATTGTGGCTCTTCTAGTCCATACCCAAGTAATACTGCGCTCACAGGGCATGGGTGACACCAGAAACAGGCTGGGCGCAAATCTCAGGGTGAGGAGGGTGCTGATAGACAAAATGGCCTTGAAGGGTTCCAAACCCTGCTCCTCAACCTCCCTGGGATAATACCCCCCCACATACACCCCCCAAAGCATAGACTGCTTTTATGCTTATTGGCAAAGAGAGAAATTGAGGGAGTGGAGAGGAAGGCTGGCCTCCCTCTTGGCCTTGAGGGGAAGGGTCCTGGAGTAAGTAAGGAAGACACCAGTTTAAGAAGATGGCAGACCCCCTACACCCCACCTCTCCAGCCACCTTACTCTGCTTATTTTCCCACAGGGACTGGATTGGAAGGAAGAAAAGGTGTTGCACTCACGTGAGGAGGATGGGACCTTGGCCTCTAGGACAACAGAGAGAAGGAGGAGGAGGAGGAGGGAGACGGTGGCCATGGAGAATTTCTTCAGGAGGAGAGCTGGCCTGCCGGGGGCTCCCGAGGCTCCTGGGGTGAGGGAGTGTTGAGAAATGATCACCGAGGCAAATAAATATATGTCTATTTTTTCAAATAAGGGAACTGAGATTTTTGAAAGGAACCAGGAAGCAGCAGATGACTCAGCGATTTCACATCCTGCCGATTTGTGGAGGGTGGTGTGAAGGATGCATGGAGAGCCAAGATTCCAGGCAGGAAATTGCCTCCCATCCTCAGCGGGAATAACTCCTCTGATGTAAGCCCTTGCCCTGATGTGGGTCACGAGATAGGAGCTGGGGCACTGTCTCAGCCTCAGCCAAAGGTCTCAAGGCTGAGATGTGTCCTGTGCCCAATTCCAGTTTCAGGTCTCCTAACAAGGGCAGGTGGGGCGTGATGATTCAGGATCTAGAGACCAGAGGACATTTGGGGTAGTGAGTTGAGGTCTGCAGTCTCCCTTCATTGATCAGAGCCAGGACTCCCTCACCTAAGTTCTGAAGCAGTTCCCAGCCTCATCCCCATCCCCCTCTCCACAGGGGGAGGATGTGTAAAGAAGAGCTATGATGCTGAGGAGATGACTCATTTATGGAAGAATGGCTGCACACCATAGCCACTGTCCCCAATGCGTTATGAATTTAGTCTTTATAACAACAGCTGAGGAAACTGAAGCTCAGAAGCCAAGCACAAGCTTTGACACTTGATAAGTAGAGCTGGCGTTCAAACTCCGTCTGGCTTTGAAGTCTGTGTGTTCTAAAGAAATATGGTCGCCCCAACTAAACTCTCCCAAAATGTCCAGGCTGGCTTGGGGTTCTCTATAAGAGCTTTAGTTTTAGCTCCTTCTGAGCTCGGGGAAGGGATCCCTTTGGTGCTTCCTCTTGCTTTCTGACTTTTGCTCCAGAGAAGCGGGGTGGAAAACATGGAGGATGCTCACTGCAGGGACAGCCAGCAGGTTTTATCGATTAGTGGTGAGCGGGAGCCCTGTACTAGAAACTATTCTGAGGCTGTGTCCAGGTCGTCAGGAAAAAGTCCTGTGATTGGTGTGTGGTCTCTGTGCAGCTTGTCCTCTGTGTACCTGCCATCCTTAGGTTAGTCTAAGCTGGCCATTGACCAAATGCAAACCAGGGATAAGTCCAGTGACTTCTCATGTTCACACAGTGACTTGGACCCCACTCTGCAGACTCAGTCTACTGGCCCTCACCGTGCTCTTCTTGGGGGGCACTTTGTCCATTCTGCTTGCTGTTGTGGTTACGAAGCTGTATTAATCTCTTTTCACCTGGAATCATCAGGGCAGGGAACATCCCTTGTTCATCTTTGTCCATTCATATAAGAGATGATTTATAAATGCATGTTTTAAAGGGAAAAATGAATAAATAAATCAAACCAGGTTATTCATGTGCATGGTATAGGAAATGGCTGACTTCTCAAGGTTAGGTGTGGAGACAGTCATTAATTTTCTTTATGTGTTACCATTCGTAACTGCACTGTTGAACTCCTCAAATAAAATGTCAACAGTTGTCATTAGGAACAATCTCAGGAAACAAGTTGTTTCTGGGAAGAATATGAGTTGGGAAGAGAAAGGGTTCACTCTTGTTTTCATGAAGGTCTAGCCCACCTGCCCAGGAAATCCCTTCATTTTTCCAGCAGTTATGGAGTTCGGACCTGCATCATTCTGGATATGCTAACTGCTCTACTAAACAGCCCAGGGGATTAAACAAAATGAAGTCTTATTTTTTCCACATGTCACGGTCTCATGAGGTCAGCAGGGGGCAAAGATCTGTGTGTTGGGGAGAGCTATTTCCTGCGCTCCTTCAGGAACCAGGGTTTTTTCTATCTTGTGATGCCACCATTTGCAGCCTAAGACCTCTGAGTTTATGACCAAAAGGGAGAGACCCAGGAGGATTGAGAGATTTTCATGAACCAGTTCTGGAAACGATATAAAATTACTGTCACCCACAGTCTATAGCCAATATCAAACCACCTCACTCCCACCTGATGATAAATGGGTTGAAAATACACAACATTATGACCAGGAGGAAAAGGAATAGAGTTGGTGGCCACATCACTTTTTTAAAAAAAATATTTATTTTCTAGTTATAGGTGGACACAATATCTCTATTTTATTTTTATGTGTGGTGCTGAGGATCGAACCCAGTGCCTCACGCATGCTAGGCGAGCGCTCTACCTCTGAGCCACAACCCCAACCCCTACATCACTTTTTTTAAACGTAATTTTATGCCATTCTTTGACCTTTTCCTATTCTTACTGAATCAAATTTCAAAGGGTGGAACCAGCAGTGTGTGTGTGCGTGCGTGGGGATTGAACCCATGGCCTTGTGCATATGAGGGCAATCAGTTTTTTAATAATGATTCTTATGCCTGGTAAAGTTTCAGAAGCCCTTATCTATGTAACAGATTTCTAGCTGCATTATATTGTTTTCTTTCTTTCTTTTTTAAAATTTTATTTATATATAACAGCAGAGTGCATTACAATTCTTATTACATATATAGAGCTCAATTTTTCATATCTCTGATTGTATATATAGTATACTCACATCAATCCGTGTCCTCATACATGTACTTTGGGTAATAATGATCATCACATTATATTGTTTTCTTTAGCCCTTAGACAATGTAATTTAGGCCTGGGGAGTCCCAGACTGTTTGCCTCCAAGTCTAAATAGCCTAATCTTTTTAGTCCAGTGTTGTATAATAATTTGGAAATTTAGTGATGAATTAGATGTAATTTTTATACCCAAGTTTTATATCATATTTTCATTTTCAGTCTCCTCTATGGATTGAGGTATTTTTAAAGTTCAGCAATTTAATGTGTTTTCTTCTCATCGTTTTCCTAATGTGCAGCAAAATGCATAACATAAAATAGCCACTCAATAATAATTTGTTTGAGTGACATAAATATCTATTTTAGAATTCCTGAGAAAGGGGTGTTGGCAGAAGAAACTTGTGTGGAATGACTTGGCTAGTTCCCACTTCAGGGCAGCTGGGAGCAGGGTTTGCACAATTCTCTAAACCAAGAAGGAATCTGCCAAAGGAGTCTTCCAGAGGGGATCATGGGCTAAGCAAGATTTGTGCAGTTCCCCAGGTCACAAAAAGCCCTGCCCCACCCCTCAGTGTATCCCCCAGATGTTAATCTGACCACCTCAGTGAAAGCCTGGCAAATGCACTTCTCCTTCCTCCCCATCCAGCAGAACCAGAGCTCCTATAATCAGAATTTGCATTTATAGCCAGAGCACTAGGGACTTTTACTTATGCTGAGAATAGCATCATGGGGAGAAAAGCAAGGCATTTCTGAAGACCCTGCATAGTCCACCAGTTAGCCCACCTACCTGCTATCCACACCTCTTTAAGTTGTCCTAGGACACCTGCAGAGGAATCACCCAGGACACTAGTTTAAATTAAATGCACTTGTGCTTTATCCCTTATCTCCAATCACTTCCCACCAATCCCTCTCCATCTGCACCAAAAGTCAGCTGTCTGAGGTCAGTAAAGAATTCTTGGAAATTAAATATAGAAAGAACATAACTAAAGACAAAAGAAAATGTCTATCACACAGGATAAAGTGTAAAATATGAGAGAAAAGTTAAGACTCATAAGGGATAGATGCACAAAATCCAATACACTCCAGTTGTTCTAGAAGCCTATGATAGCATGAATGGAGAGAAGAAAATAAGGAACCCACAGGGAAAAAGTTGAGTTAAAATAAGGCTCAGGCCTTCAGAGTAAAAGGCTAATTGAGGGAATAGCAGGGATGATGAATAAAGGACACATTCAGATACATTTTGGTAAAATGTCTGAATTTCAAAGATAAAAAGGACATTGCCTAAAAGTTCTAAGGATGTATTTTTATTCAATTAATAAAAAATCAGCTGGCTTTGGAATTTTGGCGTTATATGATATAGGAGAAGATGACTGAGCACTGTCTACAGAGAGAAAATGATCTTGAAAGAGGACTTTCAGAGTCAGCTGAACTATCAAAAGGTTTTGACCCTCAAAATCCCAGAAAGTTTATTGTTTGTATCATTTGGAGTTCCCTGTTACAAAGCAGTAGAATACGACTCTGGTTGATTGAAGCAAAAGAGAAATTTATCCCTAAGATTTTGAGTAGTACCCAGAAATATCAGGAAAGCTTGAAAAATGGGTGGAGACCTAGAGAGAGCCACTTGATTGCCACAGCCAAAATGATGTACCAGGAGCCAGTAGTGTGGATACTGCCACCTCTGCTGGGCACTGAAGCTAGCGGTGCCGACCTCCAGAACTGGGTCATGAACATGTGTGCCGGCACCACCACCTCCAGAATCTGTTGCCACCACCACTGTCACCTGGGTGGATTCCTTTCTTCTTCTCTGCAGTACCGGAAGGGAGCATCAGAATGACCAGATTTGCCTGCCCTGGTCCCACAAGGCAAGGGAGGGTGCTTGCCTTTCTCATCCTTTCCAGTAGGAGGCAGTAGGAAGATATATTCTAGTAAGATGAAAAATTCAAGAGGGAAGCTGCAGGCCACTTGTCACAAGATAACAAATTCAGAAGCGTGGTGAGAAAAAAAATCCCTGTAAGCCTTTTTTTTTTTTTTTGCAGATCTAGAATCATTTCTGCAGACTGGAAGAGGAACTCAGAATGATCTTGAGGAATGTTTCCTAGAATAAAGTGGTTGCCAGGCAACTATGAATGCTGTGAGTCTTCAGGAACAAATCAAGAATGATAATGAAACAAAGACCAGATTCTCTCTTTTGGTAAATAGGAAAAAAATTATGGGATAAACAAGAACCTTTCAAAAGATTACTATGGGTCAGATATTAAATAAAATTGTACTGTGATTTGAGCAAATGGTGGAGGAGATGGTAACCAAGCCTTCAAAGATTAGTCATTTCAGAAGAGGGGAGATGAGACAGGTGAACTTGTTTTTTATTTCTTTGGGGCTCAGCAATTCTTTCAGTTTTATTTTGGTTTATTTTCTTCAAAAATCCAAGCAAAGTTAAACTGAATACTCTTTATTAAATGCATTACTTTTCTAACCAGAACAGAACAGCAAATTTCTTTAAAAAATAGTTTGGGCTAAAAAATTCATAGGAGGTACTCGGGCAAGAGAATTGGGGGGTGGGATGGCTGGCCATCCTGTTCTTTCTTCTTATGCAAGGTTCCTAATTCTTGGATCCTAGGATGATGGATTGTGCTTCAGTTTTTTCATGCACTCTTGAACTGATGGATCATTGGGGTTGGCACAGACGTGTTGTCCCTTGTTGGTGATAAAGCTGGGCGACAAGAAGGCGATTATGAACTGAGTTGTCTTCAGCAAGTGGACGCAAGGAGCCCCATCCTCCTTACCCCTGGGAATCCCCACCCAACAGTCTCTTCTTTCCATTCTCTGCAGAAGGCAGCTCAGGCCCAGAATCCTCTCTGAGACCCTCCCCTGCCTGGGAGACTCCCTGAGGATTCATGGCAGTGTCCTTGGGCAGCCTCCTGCCTGCTCTCTCCTGCCTCCCCTCTCCTCCTCTCCACTAGGAAGGTCTCATCCCTCATGCCCTGCAGGACCCTGGAGGACACAAGTTGTCCCTTACCTGGCAAGATCCAAGGGTGAGACTATTTTAGACACCCATCCCTCATGCCCTCCCTCCAAGACCCTGCCGGTTCCCTGGCTCCCAGTACATGACGGGTGAACTTAGCACTTACATGACAGCTGGCTGAGAGCACCCACTGCTCGTTTTATGATAAGTTTTCATGACTGTACACCGGATACTTCGTGTAATATATGAGAAGCAGCAGTCAGCAGGAGAGTTAAAGACTGTAAGTGGAGAAAGGGCTATTTAAAGGACAAGTCTTTTCTCTTAAGAGTACCACCGAGGGTGCAATGAAGAGTACCAAGGAGAGGGACCAGCACTCAGAAGGGATGCTTCTTCCTCCTTGGGCAGCACTCGGTGTCATCTCCTTGCTTCAGAACCCCCACCTCAAAGTGGAATGGTGTGTCTGAAGGTACCCAGGTGGACTTACGGCCACGACAGGGGCAATAGCATTTTCTGAGAAGGGGAAGGCAGCTACAGGCACCAGAGAGCACCCTGTGCCCCAGCTGGGCGGGCTCTCAGGACTGCCAGGTGGGAATAGAAAAGGCATCTTTGCAGGAGGTACCCGTGGCCCATCCTGATCTTCCCTGGAGATTTCTACATACCCCAGGGTCCTCCAGATCTCTCTCTGCCCTGTCAATACGGTGGATGAAACCATAGCACGGATCTTGCTCATCTTCTGCTTTTAAATATGTAACACAATGGAATTTTTACCTTTATTAACTAGTGGAGGTTGAAACGTATGCTCTCTCTCCAAGAGTTCTCTTGTTTCTGGATCTGAAAGAAATAGAAAGATGGAGAGAGAAATAGCTGGGAGGCAGCACCCTCTCAGTGTCTCTGCTCCTCTATTCCTTGCCCCATCCCAAGGTAGAGAGGCTCTGATCCTGGACCACCGTCACCTGTCTGGGTTTAGGCCTGTCTCAGCCCTTTTGTATCATGAGTGCTCTGGGCCCTTTTGAAAATGTTGGAGACATAAAGACTATGTACTGACTCTGAAATACTAAAAGCAAACTGCAAGTTGAACATGCTTCTGGAATTTTAGGACTCTGGAATCAGCAAGTTTTTCATCTACTCATTTGGTGGCAGTGTCCCTTGAAGTGATGTGAAGCTACTTCCAGACTTTATTTATCTAACTTAGTATAAATATTCCTAAGTGTTTGATTAAAATATGCTCCCCAGAGACCACCAGAGAGATTAGGTAATGTCCAGGTATGGATGACTTTTTCAAAACCAGAAAATTTTTGCATTTCAGAAAACATCTAACTCTAAAGATTGTTGGTAAGAAATTGTGAACCTGCATCATTCTAATTAGGCAAGTGCAACTTAACTTCTAGCTGGTTTCTTAAATAGTTACAATTAAATTACATTTAATAAGGCATACACTTCTACATGTTTGATATGATGTGGGTAGAACTGCAATGAAAATAAATAAATAAGATCTGAGCTGGGAATGGTGACTCACTATCATGCCTATAGTTCCAGTGACTTGGAAAGCAGAGGAGGAAGTTCGAAAGTTTGAGGCCAGCCTCAGCAACTTAGTGAATCTCTTAGCAACTTAGAAAGACATGCTCTCAAAATTAAAAAAACAAAAAGGACTGGAGATGTGGCTCAGTGGTAGATTGTTGAGTTCAATCCAAAGTGGAAAAAAAAAAAAGAAAGAAAAAAGAAAAAAAGAAATCTGAAATAGCCTTATCTTTCCATAACTACTTCTGAACTGAGAAATAAATTTTGATCTCCCTGATTCACTGGCCTGTCCTTATGTTTTACTGTCCTTATGTTAACTAATTTCAACAGTTATTATCTATATAATATTAAGCAAGTTATTTAAGGTTTCTAAACCACAGTTTTTCTCATTTGGAAAGTGAGAGAATATAATAATGATAACAACAACCACAATAATAATATACAAACTATATAAAATTGCTTAAGTCCTACTCTTTCGTTCCCTACATGAATGGCAAATTTACAACTTGTTCCAACGAATACCTAACCCACAAAGTTGTTTGGAAGACTCAATGTTTAAAGAACAGTGACAGCATGGCACATAGAAAATACTAGATAATATGTTTGTTAAATAAAAATTCTAATTGTTAGGTGACTGTTAATCCTGATTTTTATTTTTTATTTTTTTCCCCTGCATCTTGTGACATTTTAACTTCTTAAGAATCTTGACAGCTAGAGAGAGAGCCTCTCCCAGGACTGGTCAATTTTTAGAGACAGCAAGTGTTTCAAACTGACTAATGCTGCATGCTTTTGCCCAACCACTTCTTTGTCTCACTCTCAAATGCCATGCCAACATGTCCCCTGCCCTAAATCATTCTATAGCCAGGTACCGGACAATGAAAGACCATCATCACTATATTCAAAGCTTTCGGGACGTATTCAACCTATCCAGTCTTAAACAGCACCCCCTCCTTTGACCTGAGTTCTTCTCAGAAACCTCATAACGGCTCTAGCATAGGTTTCCCCTCTATCCTTCTTGTGCCCCCTGGCCCAAAGCTGAGGTACACTGTGGCCCTGTGCTGCTCAGTGTACCTCCCTCTCTTAGGAAATGTAAGTAATACATTCTTTTTTTTCTTGGTACCAGGGATTGAACTGAGAGGCAACCACTGAGCCACATTCCCAGCCCTATTTTGTATTTGATTTAGAGACAGGGTCTCACTGAGTTCCTTAGTGCCTGCCTTTGAGCTTGAGATCCTTCTACCTCAGTCTCCCAAGCCTCTGGATTATAGATGTGCATTACCACACTCAGCTGCATTCTTTTTTTTTTTTTTTAAATGGCATTGATCTCTCTGGAGATTCAGTCACTCTCATAAATTAAAATTCCACACATTCAAATGAGAAGGTGACCTCAGGTGAGTCACTTACCTGGCTAGTCCCAATTCCTCTGAAAATGACATTTCTACAGTAGATGGTATATAATGATGCAAACATCATGGAATTCTATACTTCTTTCCACAAATTTATACTTTAATGATGGTTCTTTCCATCTAGCTAAAATGCCAGCCAAGAGAAGGTATCCAATAATTCTGGCCTTGCAAAGGAGATAACTCTTTCCCCAGATGGGACCAGTCATCTCTGTGCAGTTTCTCTCAGGGATCACAAGCTGCAGACAGAGTCAGGGAGGGCAATGGTGCCCTCTGCATCTTCTCCCCAGACCAAGAGTTACCCGAGGACCTGGCCACTGGTGAAGGGGCTCTCCAGACTCACCGGGTATGACCTGGGCCTGGGATCCAAGGGCAGCACCAAGAATGAGGAAGGAGAGGGCAACTGCAGAGACCTTCATCTTTCCTCTGGGCAGGCAGAGTTGTTCTGAGAAATAAATTTTGATCTCCCTGATTTGCTGGCCTGTCCTTATGTTTATCAAAGGAGGAGGATCAGGAAGTCACAGGACAGAGGTCAGAGTGCTCTCCATTGGCTCATTAATAGTGAACATGCTATTTCTATAAGACAGAAAGAGGCTGAGAATGTAACAGGAAGTAGAGGGCAAAGGTGACATGGGGATTTTCCAACTGTCCCAGTATACAGGCACAGAGAAGAACTATTTCAAGAAGGATTCCTCTGTTAGGAGACTCATTGGCTCCTATAAATCTGACCACAGGGTGAGGGCGGATGTCTCTGCCAGACTCCCTGACTCAGGGTTGGGACTTGGTGGACACTGCGCCCATTTCCAGTTCTCTTCTGGCCCAACCAGAAGGGAATTGAAACTTAGGAGCCAGTCCAGTTGGCCACTGGAATGAAGAGCAGGAGATTAGGGGCCAGGAGATTCCTAAGCTCTGATGATCTCAAGGCCTAACCACTGCACCCTGACTCTCAAGTGCCCTAAAGCCTGCAATCAGGGTACCCTCCCGGAGGCATGCTCGGGCCTGCAGCCTTGGCCTTGTGATTCATCATTCAGAATCTGCCAGGGGCTTCTCATGGACTTGGGGCCAACATCAAAGTCTTTATGTGCAGAAGGCCCTGAAGACTTGGGTTCTCTTCCCACACACTGACCCTCCACTTTCCAATACAATGACACTCTAGTGCATAATAAGTTCAACAGCTAAAAGTGTATTTTTAAATTTAGATTTTCTTCCTTAGGAGAGGACCTATATACTCGAGGACCCCAATAGTTGTGCTTAATGGATAAATTGGTGCTGTGCTAATATTAATTCCTACTAAGTCATCAACTCTATTCAGGAAGGTTTCTAGGCCCTTGCTCCCTCCAAGTTGGGCCAAGTGTTCCTGCAAAGTGGTTCCACAGCATCTGGCATTCAAATCCCATAGTTCCAGTCATATTCTATTTCTAAGGCTTATTTACCTGATTCCCACCCCCACAGCTGCCTTCCCCTTCCTCATGGGTGTGGTTAAAAGAGCATAGGTGATCCATTCTCAAAATCCCCAGTGCACAGTTACAAGGTCCTTGGATATCTGCAAGGATGAGGTAGTTAACAGAGAATAAAGTAAAACCAGAGTTGTGAGTTTCCATGTGCAAATGCAGAATGGTGATAATGAAATAAAGACAAATCATTTTCTTTTGGTTAATAAGACTGAAAATTAATAGAAAATTCTTAGAAACTAAGACTTGCGTGAGATTCTCATGGGTCAGATATTAACTAAGTTGTGTCATTTGAGCATGACCATGGTATGGTGAAAGATACTGTTTTCTAAACTACCACAAAACCTTAAAAATACTAGCTATTTTGGTAGGGAAGAGAAGATGAGACATAATGTGAAGTTGTGTCTAGTTTTCTTGGGTTATAAAAATCCCCAGTTTTTGTTGTTATCTCAGGAATTTTTTTTTGCAATTTGTGACTCATTGCTCTAAAAGTTATTTCCTCCCATTGATTTCTTAGGCAAATCATACTAAAAGTAGACATAAGTTTAAAACTTTTTCTTTTTTAAAAAATATTTATTTTTTAGTTTTTGGTGGACACAATATCTTTATTTTATTTTTATGTGGTGTTGAGGATTGAACCCAATGCCCCACGGGTGCCAGGCGAGCACAATACGGCTTGAGCCACATCCCCAGCTCTAAAACTTTTTCAAATAGAAAACATTTTGTTGTAGTTTAGAATTCAGTGCTGTCCTTTGAATTTTATGAGATAGTAAACAAGGTGTAATAATTGTAAACATAAGCTTATATGCTTAAATAGAGGTGTACATATATTTGATAGCTACTCTCTTTAAAAGTTTTGTTTTCCTTTTTTTGCAGCATTGGAGATTGAACCCAGGCCCTCTATTACTGAACTACATCCCCAGCCCTTTTTATTTTATTTTGAGATAGGGTCTTCCTATGTTTTCCAGACTGACCTTGAACTTTCGATCCTCCTGCCTCAGCCTCCTGAAGAGCCAGTATTACAGGTGTATGACACTGTGACTGGCTTACATGGTTTAAAAATATCCTTTAACTTTAGAGGAAAAGTCTTTTCAGAACTTATGTATATTAATAAAAACAACTAAGACTTAGAAACAGGGCAAAGGATAAGTGCATACCTTCCTATGTCATCCTGGAATGTTGCTAACAGCCCCCACCCCTCTCCAGGATTCCCGTAAGTGTAGAGGATGGTAGGTAGGGGGTTATGTTCCACTTACTATTAACCAGGTCCCAGAGTTTATGAAATAACGTATTAACTTGAAAATTTTGACCAGGACACATGCAAATGATTTCTGTCCCCCGGAAGTGATCATAAACCTATCCAGGTTTATGATCACTGTATACACAGGTACTAGTCTATCCCCTAACTTAGCAAACATGTTTTAGAATATCATCTGCAATTAACTGTATAAACTCTATTCCTCCAGTCATTTTTGGATCAGTTTTATGATTCCATCACACATGGACCCGTACGTAACATCATGTATGGTTTAAATACACACATTCAATCTATATTTGAATGAGTCATGGCTTTAGCTATTTAAAAATAATACTATGATATCTCTTGTTTCAAAGATAATACTTATCCTAAGATGAGTAATTCCATCAGTTTCCTCTTCCTCATAAACTTCAAAATAAATTAGCAAAGTAACTGGATTTTGCTCTAGAACAACTCAGTCCTGGTGTATAAGGACTGGCACAGGGTGCCGTGAGACCTGAGAGACAGACAGATCGAGCATTAGAGTGCAGTTTACTGGGGACTCACTGATAGATGCAATTTGAGTCAGAAAGAGAGGCAGGGAACTGGGTTTGGAGAAAAGAGACTTCATTGTAGCTGGAATGTACCTGGTTTACCTTACACTGACGTAAGAGTCAGGCACGCTCCTGGAGCCAGACTCTGGTTGTAAAGCTCCACAATATCACTCTAATGGTTTTATCCTTTTATACTTTTCTGGGAATCTATGCAGGAAAACCCAATTTGAGTTGGTCTGGGGCAATCATGGTGGTTACAACTCAGGATCTGCCGTCAAATCAGGCTGAATCCACACAGATGCTGTTTATTGTTTACCAGATGCGTTGCCTTAACACCAAACAGAATACAGACTTTTTTGTTTGTTTGTTTGTTCACTTGTTTTCAGTAATTCAGGCCAAGAATCTCCCAGGAGGTAGTTGGGTTGAGGGAGTTGGGGTTGGGGTGGCTGGCAACTTGTGTTCCTTTTCCTCAATTGATTTTTTTTAGCTCCAGATCCGTGGTCTATGAGTTTAAGTTCAAGTTTGCCATGCACTCCTGGACTCTCCCATCATTGGGGTCGGCACAGATTCGTTGTCCCTTCCTGCTGAAGAAACTGGAGAAAAGTGGGGAAAGGATTGCAAAATGAGTGGTCTTCAGCAAGTGGACGCAAGGAGCCCCATCCTCCTTACCCCTGGGAATCCCCACCCAACAGTCTCTTCTTTCCATTCTCTGCAGAAGGCAGCTCAGGCCCAGAATCCTCTCTGAGACCCTCCCCTGCCTGGGAGACTCCCTGAGGATTCATGGCAGTGTCCTTGGGCAGCCTCCTGCCTGCTCTCTCCTTCCTCCCCTCTCCTCCTCTCCACTAGGAAGGTCTCATCCCTCATGCCCTGCAGGACCCTGGTGAGGACACAAGTTGTCCCTTACCTGGCACGATCCAAGGGTGGGACTATTTTAGACACCCATCCCTCATGCCCTCCCTCCAAGACCCTGCCAGCTCCCTGGCTCCCAGTACATGACGGGTGAACTTAGCACTTACATGACAGCTGGCTGAGGGCACCCACTGCTCGTTTTATAATAATGTTCCATAAATGAACACCGGATACTTCGCCGAGTATATATGAAGCAGCAGTCAGCAGCTTCCTGAAGAATACCTGCAGGCAGAGAAAGTCCATTTGAGGGCCAAGTCTTTTGCATCAGGAGTACCATGTAGGTTGCTGTGAAGGGTACCATGGCGGGGGACCAGGGCTCAGAGGGGATGCTTCTTCCTCCTTGGGCAGCACTCAGTGTCATCTCCTTGCTTCAGAACCCCCCACCCCAGAGCTGACCTCTGTGTCTGAACCATGATAGGGGCAGAAGCATTAGCCCTGGAAGGGAAAGGCAGCTGCAGGCATCACAGAGCACCCTGTGCCCCAGCTGGGCGGACTCTCAGGACAGCCAGGTGGCCATAGAGACGGCATCCTTAGAGGAGGTACCTGTGGCCCATCCTCATCTTCCCTGGAGACTTTCCCCACCCTCAGGCCCTCCTGTTCTCAGCCTGTCCTGTCAACAGGGTGGATGAATCTCTAGCATAAGTCGGAGCCCCCCTGCTGCTTAGAAATATGTCCTATTTGGTCATTTACCGTGCTGAATTGGAGACTTAATAGGAATCCTCAGAAGTTGTCTTTTCTCTAGATCTGAAAGAAACAGACAGGTGGGTAGGATTTACTGGGAGACAGCACCATTTCAGCATCTCCACCCACCCCATTCCTCACCCCATCCCAAGGCAGAGAGGCCCCGATCCTGGAACACAGTCACCTGTCTGGGTGGAGGCCTGCCTTAGCCCTTCTGTCTTCTTTTTCCCTGCGATTCTTTGGGGCCCTTTTGAAAATGTTTGAGACACAGAGACATTCTACTGTCTCTTGAATACTAATAGCACAATGAAAGTCCAATATGAGTAACTTCAAGGGATCCATTCCTAATGTGATGAAGTCCACACTCTTTCTTCATGTTTTTGCCTTCTACAAGACTGGCAAATAGCAAGTTTTGTCCATCAGCTCATTTGGTGGCACAATGTCCCTTGAAATGATGTGAACCTATTTACAATCTTTATTTATCCCATTTGGTACTAATACTTATGTGTTTGCTGAAGAATTGTGTTAGTCAGCTTTTTTTTTTTTCTTTTTGTACTGGGGACTGAACCCAGGGCCTCTTTCTCAATGAGTTACATTCCCAGTTCTTTTTACCTTTTTAATTTTGAGACCAGGTCTCACTCAGTTGCTGAGGATCTCATTCATGTTGGTGAGGCTGGGATTGAACTTGTGATCCTTCTGTCTCAGGGCCCCCCACCCCTCCCCTGCCCCTAGTCTCTGGGATGACAGGTGTTTGCTACTACCAGGGTTGCCTGGGTGGACTCCTGACTATTAGTCAATTTTTAATCGCTGTGATCAAAACACCTGACAAGAACAATTTAGAGGAAGGAATGTTTATTTGGTGCTCTTGGTTTCAGAGATTTTATTCCCTGGCTGGCTGACTCCATTGCTGTAGGCCTGAGGTGAGGCTGACCAAGGGGACAATGACGGAAATCTGCTCAGCTCGTGACAACCAGGAAGCAGAGAAAAAGAGTGAGGAGCCGGGGACAAGGTATACAATCCCCAAAGTCGTGTCCCAGTGACCTACTCCAGCTATGCCTCCCTTGCCCATAATTATCACCTAGCAGCCCACTCAAATTCTTAATTCATAAAATGGATTAATCTACCTGAGTTTACAGCTCTCACCCTTGCCTAAAAGCCCACCTCTGAACCTTGCTACATTGGAGG